AATCGGAACTTCCCACGTGAAAATATCAACTTGTTGAAAAAACTCGGGGCGTTTTTTGTTCGTTGAAATCTCTACTTTCTGATAATGTAAAAAAATATATACATCACTATTGTAAATGTTTTCAGAAATGCAAAAAAAAAGAAAATAGCTCGAATCCGATTTTTTTTTCAATCGCTATGCACAATTTTGGGCTATTTAGTGAAATTCACACTTTAATTACATAAAGATTGCAAGGAACATGCGAAAATAGTTGTTCTAAATATAAAGGGGAGATTTCAATAAAAGAAATGTAATTGCTGCAAATGCTTTTAGTCAAAAAGTTGATTATATGATTAATTAAATTCTAATCACATTTATGTCATAAAAAATCTCATAATATATGAATAGAAATGTGAATCATATTCATAATAATATTTTGTAATGCATTTATCTTCTTATTTATAAATCTTACCTTGAACCCTAATCAATTATTCATTACTTTTTGTCGCTTCGGTGGCATTTCTTCATCATTAGATTCGAAAAACCTTCCCTACCATCACCGTCTTCGTATCCAATATTATTTTTAGTCTGAATTGGTCCTTCATCCACAATTTCATTTAAATCACTAACTTCCTCGTAGGTTTTTTCTTTCACATTGGTACATTTTTCAGAACCATGAAAAATTTGCAGGAATCACATTTCTTTATAGAAATACCCCCTTAAATTTCTATGAACAACTATTTTTGCATGTTCCTTGCAATCTCCATGTAATTAAAGTGTAAATTCATAGCCAAATAGTCCAAAATTGTACATACCTAGTGATAAAAAAAATGGATTTGAGTTTTTTTTCTCTTCTTTGCATTTCTGAGAACATTTACTATAGTAATGTATATATTTTTTTACATTATCAGAAAGAAGAGATTCCAACTAACAAAAAACGTCTCGAGTTTTTTCAAAAAGCTGATATGACGTGAGAATTTTTGATTGAAAATTAGGGTGTTTTTTCGATATTAAGTCAAAATGAGGTTAAAAAATAATCATTTCGAATTAAAAACATTACAGTGTCTTTAGGACATAATAAGGTGAGATTTCACCAAATTTTGTGAAAAAAAATTTTTTGCATCAGAAGAATAAAAACCTAAAACTTGATTTTATGAATTTTTCACATAAATTCTGAGGTTATGTGAAAAAAGTCTGATTACAAAAGTATTAGGTCTCTCTATCACCTACAACTTTGTCGTTCAATATTTTTCCATAGGACTTGTGGTTTTGCCGGAAGTCGAGATACACCGTTTTTTACCCTTGAAACTCACCCCCTTCCATTTCGCGACCTCAGATCGCCCGTAAATTGTTTTTCCTTTCATTTTTGTTATAATCTCGTCCTTTCTCAACGGGTTTCATCCTACTATTATTTTTTTTGTTTCAAAAATTATCGACCCTGGTCTATTATTTCAAGTTTCCATCGCAATGCGCCTTTACTGCACTAATGAAGATATTCATGCTTGTATTCTCTACCATAAAATTATCACTACAAAAACACCTTCTTATCTCCACGATAAAATTGCTATAGAACTGACATTCATAATTTAAATCTTAGATTCAGAAATAATCTCTCAATACCACCTCATAAAACTACTCTTTATCGTGGCCAATAGGTCTATGATCGTGGCTCTTTCTCCTATAATATCGCCTGGCTTTACAATCGACTCCCGAATTCAATGAAAACATTATCGATTCCACATTTCAGGAAAAAACTGAAATCTGACCTACTCCATAACTCTTTGCCTCAGTTACTATGATGTATTTTTTTTTTTGCTTTTTTTTATAGGTATGCATCCAGCTTTATGATGACTTATATTTGAAATGTTCATGTGTAAATTTAAATTACTTTATATTTGATTACTTATAGGTTTATGTATAACATAGCGATAATTATTTTTTTCCCTCGGTTGAATGGAAGAGCAAGTTCTGATTACGTCACTCTCACTGGTGAAATGATCTGAACTTGAATTCTGCCGTTTGATAGGTATACAGTTCTCAGCTCTCTATTATTTTTTGTTTATTTTGTATTCACCTATACCTGTCAATAAAATCCATTATTATTATTATTATTATTAAGTATTCGTTCACTCATAATTAATCTATGGTTCACTAATACCTATACAGGCGCCGGTGCCATTCTGTTCTAGAAAATATATCTTGGTTGGTATTTCTTCGAATTCTCTCCAGCTTTCTTCTTGTTAATTTGTCAGTGTCAATACAAATCAAGTTTCTTCAAACCAGTTTCTCATGTTTTTCTTTACACGTTAGCCGCGAACGAACTTGAAATACTCAATGTAGGTACTTGCGTATATAAATAATGTTAATTATTATTACAATCACGCCTAAGCCATTGCAATGGAATTTATTGGCCAGGCATGTTAACCATATTTGTAGATAATATTGTTATACATATTATAATTCAGTGGATAATTAGTAGATAGGTAATCTAATTCCCATGATTGCCGTTGTTCCTCATTATCTCCGAATCTCATTATACAGGGTGTTCCTTAAGTACGTGTAGAAAATTCAGGAGCATGTTGTTGACGTAAAAATAAGAAGAAAAGTTCGTATAAATATATGTCCGAAAGTTATTCGTTTCTGATATACAGAGTGTCATAGTTAAATTCTTATTTTTGTTTTTGATTGATAAATTTCAAAATAATTGTGATATCCGAATAAAGTTTGGTTGTAGGGGAATTTTTCAATAACTATTCCACTCTTGATCTCGAGAACCAATCAGAAACGACCATTTTCACGGTTTCTTCTGTATTCTAGCGATATTTTTAAATTCTATCGGACTTGCTCTACCAATACAGAAGCCGAATTGACCCACACGTGAACAACAAACCTCGTTTATCAGCGATAAAATTTTGACATCGTGTCTGGTCAAGATTGCTTTGGATTCAAATCTGAGAAATAACCTCTAGGTACCTACCTTAGGTATTTTATTTACTTATAATTCGCGTTAGTGAGACATGTTGTACGAAAGGCGAGACAAAAAGTTTGAATATTTGTTGACGGTCTGATACAACAATACTAGAATTCAAATTCGTTTTCAAAGTGATCTTCTTCAATCACTCAAGTTATTGTGACTAATATAATTACCAGATGATGTGGCGCAACTGATAGGGTTGTTGCGCGAAGATACGAAGGTCGAATCTTTTTTTTTTTAATTATTTCATGTCACATAAATTCAATTTATTTCGTTTGAATTGGATAGAGATTGTATACACTCTTTTGAGAGCAACCATCTCCAAGATTATAAAAAATACTGTTTATCAAAATTGTACATTCCACTTTGTGAATAACTATAAGTAGGTAGTAAATTTCTAAAAAATTGAATTCTGTATTTCATTACTATCATTATGTTCTTCTTCGCAGTTTGAGTTGGAATATATTCCATATATATATTGTCTCATTCAATCATGAAATAGTCATACGAATACAACTCGTGATACTATTTTTCCTGGAAATATTCGTCGATTGACATACTCCAGCTTGCTGCTCTAATTTCGCTCATGACATTGATCACGAAATTACTAGGCAACAAGCTGTCGTAACAATCAGCGAATATTTCTGGCAAAATATTATTACTTGTGGTATTACATATGAGAATATCAAATGTTATGTTAGTTTGTCTCTTTCGTGGGGGTGGCGCCACCTACATGTATTTTGAGTCTTCTGAAAAGTCATAACTTCTTTTTTCGTACCTGTATCCACAGAACTCGTATTACTTAAGTAATATGAGTTCTGTGCCTGTATCACGTTTTATAGTAGAAAAATAGATTTCAAGAACACTTTTGTGTGAAAAATATATTCCTGGTAGAGGTCGCTACGAGCAACTTATTGGGATTTGAAATTGAAATAATCGATGTACCTACTCTTGAATTTTTTTGGGGGGGTCACTTGAAGTTTATACGGTGCCAATAGAAACCGAAGATCAACTTCGTCAACGGATCATTGCTGGATGTGACGCTATACAAAATACACCTGGTATAATGGAACGTGTACGTGGGTCTATGAGACGACGAACAGACGGATGCATAATGATGCAAGGTGGCCACTTTTAACAACTATACTTTAATCAATTCCCCCAAATAATTGTTTGGTAGGTATATTAATTTGGTCTCAATTTCTGTTATTATTATTAGTATCAAATTGTAATAACACCCGATCCCTATTTCAAAATGAAATTGAACAAAAATAATTTCCCTTACTTGATAAATCAATTTTGAATTCCAACTTCTTGTTATTCCATATTACTTACATTGATTATTTCAAATCCCATGCAATGACTTGAAAACAGTTGCTCGCAGCCACCTCAACCAGTAATATATTTTTTACACAAAAATGTTTCAGAAATCTGTTTTTCTACAATAAAACGTGATACAGGTACGCACAAGAGAGTTACGACTTTTCAAAAGACTCAAGAGACATATAGGTGGCGCCACCCCCACGAAATAGACAAACTAACATAAAATTCAATATTGTCATTGAAAAATACCCCTTGATACCAAACTGCATTCGATTATCACAATTATTTTGAAATTCGTCAACAAGAAGAAAAATAAGAATTCAACTTTGACACTCTGTATCTCAGAAACGAATATTTTTCAGACATATATTTATACGAAATTTTCTCCTTATTTTGACGTCAGCAACATGCTCCTGAGTTTTCTACACGTACTTAAGAAACACCCTGTATAATTTTACTATTTTCAAATGATATTTTTTTCATTATTCAGACTGTATCTACTTCTCACTCACTGAAAAAAATAGTTGGTAGTAATTACCAAACGTTAATTTTGTAAAGTGGTATTATTTGAAGAATATAGTGACTGGTGCCTATTTTACTCAACGTTTGGTATTTACTACCGACTATTTATTTCTATGAGTGCTCTTTTCAGGAACATTTTTTGATCGACAAACATCAATAGGTGTACCTATTCCTATTAGATTGAATAATTAGATATACTCACCCTTTTCCATTTGAAAGAATATGCAACATCCATCAAGCTGAAATCCTTTGGCAAAACTTCTCCTTTGTAAATAATATCAACCTGTAAAATAACCTCCAATTAGAATTAATTATCAAAATATTTGCCCCAACTCAATTTTTTTATAGAAAAATTTTGAATTATAAATACAAAAATATAGAGAGGGGAGGTCATTGTTGTCTATTTAGTCTGTGCCACTGAACTATTTAATATGACATATATGTCATGAATCATTCTGACTGCATGTTTATAATGACTATTTCCATCCCAATGGCAACAATACGTCAATGATATATTTTATTATATAGATGACATATGATAACGAAAATAGTTCAGTGGCACAGATTAGATGATATACGAGTATATACATATATATATATAGGTACGATATGTTTATTAGCTCTGGGAAACATTTAATAATTTCCGTGTATATATAGACTTCCGGTGATAAGTTCAAAGAGGAACTGAAGAAACTACTGCAGCATTACGTTCGCTACGACCTTGAGGAATATTTTTCGAACAACAGCCACTGATTAACAAACACTATTCTGTGTTGAATATTCTCATTACCTCGAAATCTGTTTCTTGTTTTTTTGTTTTTCTTTTTTTCATTGACTATCCACTCCCTCCAGATGGGGCAATCCATCTTATTCTAAAAATCCTTTTATTGTTATTGGCCAGCACATTCCCCTACTACACTCACCGGCAAAAAAATCTGGTCACCAAAAAAGTTTGCCAAATTGTTCGCCTTGTACCTTTTTTAATTTTTGTCTAATTTTGGTGGAATTTCGACCAAATCGTATATTCATGTTTCGAAATGTTATCCTGAATATTTGTTCCTAAGAAGAGCTGATGGCTTGATCATTATACAGTGAAAAACAAAAGTTACTCTTGCACACTTAACTTCTTAACGCCCTATGGGAAAGGTGAATGGTTTAACTTAGGTTCATTATGTTTTGGATTGCATTGTGATCCCTTCCCAACATAATGGTTTCATATATCCGTCGATAACCACTTTTTAAGAAATGATCCAAGTGTTTCAAAAGAGTATGGATTTTTTTAATTTTCATCAACAATAATTCAGAACCATTCTCCAACCTTCTGCTTCATCATATTTCAAATTGAAGTGTGATCCTCTTTCGTCCCTTCTTCATACAACGGTTCTTGATTCACGTCAATATCTCTTTTTTGAGAGAAGGTACAAGTGTTTCAAAGAAGTATAGAATTTTTCAATTCTTAATAAAAATAATTAAGAACCTATAGAGCATCTTAGGGGTGACCTCCAGTGGCTCATTCGCCTTCGTCTAACATTGTCAGAGACTCTTTGAGCTACGATCCGCCCTTCTAGGAGAATTTTAGGCAATTCTTCAAGACTTCTTCAGAAATTTGATCAATTCGATGCCATGCACGGCGGTTGAATGCTGTAATTCATCCTCGAGGAAAGCATATTGACTACAACAGGTCGGCTTCTAGTTTGTTTTCATAATTAGTTTTTCAGTAAGTGCTAAGAAAGTGAGGTAGAAATAAGTGATAATAATTCTTCAAGTTGTTAAACAATAAGTTCATGTAGGTTTCGAGTATTGGTTAAAAGAATTGAAAAATGCCATACTTCTTTAAAACATTCGTATCTTTTCTTAAAAATGAGATATTGACGTGAATCGAAAACGATTGTGTTGAGAATAGGTCACACTTCAATCCGAAGCATAATGAAGCCAAGTTCAACCTCGCAATTTTGCTACAGGTCGTTGAGAATTATAGGATTAAAGAGTAACTTTGGGTTTTCCTGTATAATTATCAATTCATCAGCTTTTCAGGTAAACTATTATTCAGGACAATATTCCGAAGCATTGATCTACGATTTGATCGAAACTTTATAAAAATCAGACGCGTATAGTGGTTCCCGCGGGAGTCTCGTTTTCGAGAGTCTCGCATGGTCTCGTCCGTTTCTCGTCTCTTTTTCGAGACAAAACTCGAGACGAGACTCAGACAAGACGAGACGAGACTTTTATTGGTCTCGTCTCGAGTCTCGTGCAAGACTTCTCGGGTCTCGTGCGAGAGTCTCGCAGGTGAATATTTCTGCGTGCCGACTGCAGACTTGAGAATTTCATTCATAATACAACATATTTATAAAGAATTCAGACTTTTTAGCTCAGATAGATTAAACATTTCATTCATAAATACTTTGAAAACACAATCTATGATTGTTGTAAAACGACGTAATGCGTGAAACGAAAACGGACTCTTCTCTCTGTTACGGCGGCGGAATATAAAGGCAATTCTGCAATAACGACAGATCGCAAATAATTGAATAACTACCTGAAAATCTATAAATAGGTAAGTCATTCTGTGCTAAATAGTCTACCATAATTTGCGATCGTGAAGGCTGATCTGACAGATAAAGGTTTTTTTCTTAGATACCTATTTCTTGAATAATTAAAATAATGTTGGATTAAAGTGTTTGTTTTGTTTCTTTGTTTAAAATGTACTAGTTACTTTTTATTTTATTTTTATAACTTTTGAATATATAATGCTATATATGTTTTTTTTTTCTTGTTTGGATGTATGATGTAAGTATGTACATACCTATTAGATACTTAGTTTTCAATAAATAATGATATTTTTGTTGTTTTTCTCTTTCTACTTCTGCATTATACCTAAAATGAAGGTAAAAGTGAATATCCCGTACTAGATTGGAACAAGATTATGCATGACGGAATTGCGATACATTTGCGAGTAGGGCTGTGCGATATTGAAAACTGGATATCGATATCGATGCACGCTTTGGTATCGATATCTATCGATATATCGATATATCGATACATATCGATAAATATCGATACATATCGATATATCGATATATCGATATTTTTTTTCCATGGTATCGTTATTCGATATATCGATATATCGATATTTTTGCGCAGCCCTATTTGCGAGACTCTCGTGCGAGACGAGACTTGATCCAAGACTTCATATTTCATCGGCGAGACGAGACTTTATGAAAGTCTCGTCTCGTTGGTCTCGTGTGAATCACTAGACGCGTATTAAGACAGTTACAGGCTGGACAATTTGAGTAAATTTTTTGGTGGCCGTTTTTTTGTCGGTGAGTGTATATTCTGAGAATGTACTAATTCACATAATCCATGTACATAGCTGGTAAATAAATGTCTATCTAAGTATCTATAAACTGTTCGACTAAAATCGACACCTCTGGTCCCATCAACACTGGAAGACTTTTAATTTGGAAAAGTGGCCTTGTACTCACCCTGTGATCTCCAGTGAGTCCAAACTTCATCCTGATGAACTTCTGAAGGTGTTTCATGGAAACTGCTGCAGGGCACCGAAGAAACCTTTTATCACAATCTTTGCTCTTCTGTTCCTTTTTCACGTTGTCCTCCTTGTCACTGGTCTTATTGTTTTTATCACAAATTATCTCTACATTTTTTTCTAAAGAATTTATCTGACTGTTATCACTGTTTGTACTGTTTGCATTATTTTTCACCACTTCCGAATTGTCCGGCGTTTTCAACACTTCTGGCGCCTTTTCTTGTTTATCAATGTCCAGATGAGCCTGGTAATATTCCAGTGATAATGATACAGAGTCATCCGGGCTGAGGAACAGTGCCTTGTCTCCAACGTACTTTGAGATCTGTGAACAATGAACTCTATTAACAATAACATCTTGTTATTTATTGTACACAGTGCTCTATTATATTCGATTAACGATAGTTACCGTCAGGCGCGTATATATACAAAAGGAAGGGGTAATAGGGGTAATTACCCCCCTCCCGAGACGATGAAAAAAAATTCATTGTTCAAATCAAAAACAGAATGAATCATATTTCATTCAACACGTAACTAGTATCTAAACTATTTTTGGATGTATATGACAAGTTAATATTCATCATACAGGACCTGGAAAGAAATTCTGACAGGGATTGAATGTCAACAACAATTCTCAGATGTCAGTTTCGTTATAGTTTCAGTTATATTATAGACAGATGACAGATGAAAATTGTGTATAATATCATAAAATGGCTGATAGATAACTGGACTTCAGGTTACTGAGGAGGGTTTGGAATCCGAAATGAGCTGATTCGAATAAAGTCATTTAGCCTGATTGTGAGTATAATTTCCATATCACTGATACGAATGATTTTTTTAGAACTTCCAAGCTCATCAAGATCAGAGTTTATTGAAGTATACTTCTCCAATACATTTCAATTTTTATATCATAAAACATCATACAATTCATCAGATTTGGGAGATTTTTATTTTTCATGCTCTCCTGGGTGTTCAACAGATATAATTCAATGTTCGACGTGGCAAATATAGCCAGGAAAGTAGTTGTTTTCTGTTGAATAAACCGAGGAAGAATTGATATTTTCATCACATAGAGAATGCGAATTCTCAATGTATTTCTTCAATTATTATATCCATTTTTTGATGTTAATAATTTATCTGAGAATATTCCTTTTCATTCTAATCTATTGCTTTCTGAAAGCTGAAAAATGCAAAAGCTGCAGCGTGCAAGTACCTTTTTCATTTTGACTATTCAATTTAGGTATACAGGGTGTTCCATAATATATGCGCAGGACTGCAGGATGTAATAGCTCGTCCAAAAAATATGAAAACAGTTTTCATTAACTTTTTGTTTTTCTCCACATCTTCTACGTCACTGGAAAAAGTATAGTTTTGAGTCGCCCATTTGAACGCCAATGTTTTCTATACACAAGAAAGATATGAAATCAAATCAAATCAAAACATAAACTCTATTGTCCGAAGGAAGCTATATATATAAATCTTATTGACAAAGCGTTTCCTATACATATATAGGTTATTGAAACCAGATGCTGTACCCAGTATAATTTTTATCATTTCCTAAGCATTTGTTACCAAAAAATGCTTATCCTCGCAGTAAAATAAGAAAACTCATATATATAGGTACCTAGAAGATTAATAATGAAAAAAAGTATGTTTAGAATGAACAAAAACTAGCTAGTAATTTATTTTCAGGATGCATCTGTGGACGTCTAAGGAAGATGTTTCTCACACGGAGAAAAAAAATCACTTACCCTAAGTGAATATTTAATAGTGGCAAGTAAAAACTTGTATACTATATGGGACAAGAAAACAAGTTAATAACCACAAGAATATTTGTGTTCCTGAAAATGTACACCTACCACTATTGACCTGTTTCATTAAATTTCAGAGTGATAACGGTTAGTGAACACATCACTTGTCATCAGTGACCTATTCACTTTTCATTAGTGACTTGTTCACTAGTCATTAGTGGCTTAATTACATGTCATTAGTGACTTATTTACTAGTCATCAGTGACTTATTTACTTGTCAATAGTGACTTATTCACTTGTCATTAGCTAGTATGAAAAAATACCTCCATTGTTCTCTGAAAAATGATAAAAACTTGGTAATAAGACAAAAACACATGCATTCAAAACATTTTATTATATAGGTATGATGAATTCAGAAAATACAAAAAAGTAAGGCTGACGACAAATATTGAGATACTAGATACCGCGTATATCAGCATCATGCACCGAGAAAAACGGTACTCTCACTCACTGCACTGCACTTTGGTTCACTATATTTTTTCTTCCAGCATTGACGATGAATCAACTTTCATACTTTTTTAACGTCACTTCCTTCCACTTCGAGTATCATAGGAAGTGGAAAAAAATCCTGTATATAGATACCGCGTATATCAGCATCATGCACCGAGAAAAACGGTACTCTCACTCACTGCTTTGCACTCTGGTCTCTTTCCTTCCAGCATTGAAGATGAAAAAGTGGAATCTAAATCAACTTTCATACTTATTAAACGTCATTTCCTTCCACTTCGAGTATCATAGGAATATGATATAAGTATAGTAGTTGTTCAGAAGGGCACTTGCACTACAATTTTACCAGCGGGAACGCAAGTATACTAACTTCACAAATGCTAAGATCGTAATGACGGCGTAGACACTGGACAGTGATCGCGTTGGGCGAGGGCACTCGAATAATATCGGAGATTTCCGAACGGAAAACAGATCTATAACTACAGGTGAGCTGTCACCTTCAACAATCGACTTGATAGATTGTCTTTATCGATGAGTTCGCTCAGAGCAAGTGATCTTGTGTCAGAAAAATAATTTAATAATAGTGAGTATTCGTTCTCCTAGCACTAGTTTAGTGTTCACTTAGAATTAGCAAACTCTAAATACATATCGATTTGGTTAATATCAACAAGTGTTCGGATCACTTACAGCAGGAACATTGTTCCAGAAATATAGTTTTGCCTACTGCAAGTACCTTATTTTCCTACCGTTGGTGAAATTTTTCTTGTCACAATCGACTTTTTTTCAAGAAAACGATTTACTTGGCCGAGTTTTCTCAGTGCATATTATGGACTTTCATTTGCCTATGACTTCCAGCTCCCAAGTTTCGAAGTTCATCAATAAAGAAACCCAAACTGTTCCATTGGAGAAGGATATCGAATTGAGATTTGTTTTTTCTAGTTTCTAATAGGGATATGTTTGGTAGGCAGTGACCTAATGGAAAAATAGGAACCTATGGAAATAATGATTTTTTAATGATGATTGATTGCAACAATATCCTTGTTTCTAAATGAATATTTTTATTTAATCAGGTTTACTCCTTAATGAAAGCAAAAAACGAGAAAATATTTCAAATAATGCGAGCGCTTCCCATTAGCCAACATAAGATAGAAAGAGATAGCTATCCGTAAACACTGCGGGTTGCCTGAACAATATTTTTGCCTCACTCGTCGTTCCAGTTGTTTATATAGAGTTCATTGGGTCAAGCTGTACCAATAGTTGCGTTTTATTTATCCGATTCCGCCACTGGAATCACTTTGATGTGTCGATGTGTCGTTTTATTTGCAACTTTTCCGATTCCGGTTGCTACTTTTCATTTTGTCTCAGCACTACCAGGAATGACGTGGAATGACTGTTGACAGAGTTGCCAAAAAATTATATTAGATTGACGACAAACGACACTTTTTGAAAGTAGAAGACATTTAGCAGACATTTTTGGCGCGAAGTTCACAAGTATAAATTATATTTTTTCAAGGAAGAAAGATTTCATAAAATATGTTCATTCCCAGATAAAATTAATTCTCTCGATCTCAGAGAAGTTTCTCCAATCACCACAAGCGCAGCTCCAAATATTCGTTGATTGATCTCCTAGATTCTTATTTCTATTATCATTATCTTGAAATTATGAGCCCCAGTATATAAATAAAACCTCTTATGTGAATTCTCCCATGCAAGCTTGCATGACCTAGGTCATGAAGTTTCTCGTTTTATTTGTAAACGTCATTCTGTTCCCACCACCGCTAATACCAGAATGGAACAAATAAAACGCAACTAATGTGAGGATATCGGTGAGCCATGTTGTGACAATTCTCAAATTTGGGGCAAAAAAATACATCAATCTAACACACTATAGGTGTTGATATAGCGACCAGCAGATTCTGATACAGATGGATACACAATGAAAATCATTCGATTCTTCGATTTTTATAAAAGTTTCAAGGTCGGTTACATAACGCTTTTATTAGATTATTAAATATTCACTCTGATAATATCCAAGGCAACGTATGCTTTAGCTGATAAATGAGGAGAGTTAATTCCAAGTTGAGTAAACATTAGTATTTTATGCAACGATCCTGTGATGATAGCTATAAATACAGGAGCTCGAGGTAACTTACGATATGAGCCGAAGGCGAGTGTCGTAAACCGTGTGCGAGTGTATTTATAGGCATTAAATAATCGTTGCAAAAACTGTTTTCTACGAGCTACAAATAATAAAATTACCTTTATTTTTTACGCTTTGAGGTGATTGGAATTGAACGTCAAACAACTAAAGCATGTGATAAAGGAACATAAACTCATTTGAAAAGGAATATTCTCAGATGAATTATGAACATAAAAAAATGAATATATTATTATATATAGAGAAATACATAGAGAATTCACATTCTCTCACACAATGAAACACTCTGGGCCCCCCTGAACGCCAGAAATGGTTCTAGAAAACATCGGAACAGAAAGGAGATCACAAGTTATTTCCCTTGACCTATCATATTATGTACTGAAGTCTGATATGGTCACCTTCTAACATATATTTTTGTGAAACATCAGTCATTATGGGGAACTACAATCTGTACAAAATTAAAGGGTGTTGTAAAATTGGTATACAATATCAAAGCGTGTATACGTGAAATATGAATTATAATTGGATTCAAATTAAAAAGCGAAAGCCTCTGCCGAACTGAGCGTGCATGTCGTATTTGATGATTATTATCGATTGAGTTTCATAACGCAGGCGTATTATGTGCAACCTTTCAATGAAATACACACGCGCATCATCGCGCACCCTTGCGCCGTTGACATTTCAATGAGCTGCGAAAGCCACAATGTGGGCCACAATATCAGTCAATATTTTTCTCTTTCATTTTCCTTTCCTAGTTGAATGAGATGTTATTATACACCTATTTGTTCGCTAGTCGGGTTTTCCCGAGGGTTTTCCGATGAGAATGGAAACCACTGAAACCAGTATACTATTATCAGTATCTATTGAGAGTATCACAAGATATGCACCATTGCAAACATAAAGCAGCAAGCTCAGATGGTACGAATGATATATATACATACGGAGCCGCATTAGCGCCAGCGGAGCAAAGAGAGAGAAACTCAGTCATCACCACACTAGTTCATAAAATGAACGAAATTGGTAGATAACGAGAGAAAAACAACTATATACTTTCCTGGCTATATGCCACGCAGAACATATTGGGTTACATCCTCCCGGAATCTATGCAATAGTTCGTATAGACGAATAAAATCGCAAGTGTTTCCTTCCTAAACGCTGTTCAGGAACGCTGACTACCTGCAGACCGGTTTCGAGCTGTTGGCTCTCATCAGTGCGAACTGCGAACCTGACCCAACGTAAACGCAATACAATATATACAATACGAGGCGTTCGAAGTTCGCGAAATGAAAACGCGAACGCCGAACGCCACCTGGCAAGGAAAGAAACACTCCAAAACAAGATCCCATTTCAGGTGAAATGGGAGTGGCTGGTTGCCCGACTGGCGTATTTTCAACTAGGGAAAAAGCATTTTCCCTAGTTGAGAATAATAATTATTGTACAATAATTGTTTTCCAACAATAAAACAAGAGAACATCCGGCAAATCAGGAATGAATGATATTTCATTATATTTAATGGAATTACAGTGCACCTACTACCCAAATATTTCCTTGAATTAATTTTAATTCTTACTGCTTCACTTATATTTTTCATTTCATGAGTAAGGCATGTAACATTTTTGCTGTATGAAATATTGACTTTTGCAAAAATTTGACTTATAATTATTCGTTGTCAAGAAATCGATTGTCTTGCTTCATTCAATTTCTTCCTGACAAGATGAATAAAATAACGAATCTTGATTTTGTGAAATGAAATGAGATTCGACATATCTTCAGTTTTGTATAGATTCTCATACCTAGGTGGTTCTAGAAAATTCAAATGGAAAATACACTTTATTGTTTAATTTTGTGATTTCATTAGTGGTTTTACTGTATAATATTAGTATTTTGCAAATTTGAGTACTTGAGACGAAAATAGATACATATAGGTACTCTTTCATACAGTATCTAATTTGAATGAAATACCAGTGATAGGATTGAGTTTTTCCTCAAATCATATATAATAATAATAATAATAATAATAATGATAATAATAATGTTTATTCACTCTTCATCATACATTTGACATTCAATATTTAAATATTTTCAATAATTTTTTTTTTGCCAAGATAAGGAATAATCATTGAATCACAGTATCAATCACAATATAACAATATGATAATCACATTAATCACAGTAATAACAACAATTAACATAATATTTCAAGTATATAACAGTCACGAATAAACATAGTAGACCTATAGAAACCGAAGTTGTGCATAGGCTGTATATATACGTATACATATATTATGTTCAATCGTTTTGAATATAGTATGTAGGAATACAATTGAGATTTGAAATCCAAGGCAGGGAAAGATGTTCACAATAATCAGGTTTGGAGATGTTGATATTTAATATATTTCTTTATAAATGAGACATTAGGAAAGCAACTTAATTTTGAAAAACCAGTTTAATATAAAATTATTATTTTTATTTTCGTTAATCACAATCAGAGTGAGGATCTTAGACATTCCTGATTTCAATTATATTGTGTATAAATGATCTATCAAGATTGAGGATGTATGAATCTAATTTTTTCTTCAGCAGGTTAGTGGAGTTCGAGGATATAATTAGTTGTTTTATCGTAATATCCAGTGAGTTGTATATACGAGTAGACAAATAAGTAAAAGAACGCTGACCAAGAGATTTTTTTGTCATTTCCGTTTTCGAAAATAGTTTTGATTTTTGTCTAGTGGAATAATCGTGTTGTAGGTTACGAATCTTATTTTTATGTTTGTGAAGGTCAATAACTATATATATTTCTGAAAAATATCTGTCGAAGATCGAAGCACTTGGTCTCTTTAAAGAGTTCATCTGTGGGGTGTCTGTTTCTCTTTTTGAATATTATTTTTAAAAATAAGTTTTGTAATACTTGCAATTTTCTTAAGTGTGTCTCTACTGCACCACCCCAAGCAAGTATTCCATAGTTCATCCGTGATTCTATAAGTGCATAATATACAATGTCTTCATATGTTGAGTACTTAAAATATTAGAAAAATATTTAATTTTAATTTTATATATACTGGGTGAGTCGGGAGGAACGCACCAAACTCCAGGTGTGTATTGTACAGATATAAATAATTAAAAAAAAAAACCATATGATCTTATACGATTCTCATTTGTTTTCATACCAAATTTGAATAGATGTGTGGAATTTTATAAGACTTTAATCGTACAAACTCGATTATAAACGCGTCAAACACTGACACTGACACGAACACATGTCAGAACAACAAAACAGAAGAAACAATCGAGTCTTTAGTATTAAAGTCTTATAAAATGCCACAAATCTATTCAAATTCGAAATGAAAACATATGAGAATTGTATCAGAACATATGGGTTTTTTCAAATTATTTTTACATGTACAATATACACTTCACCTGGAGTTTGATGCGTTCCTTCCGACTCACCCTCTATATGTCTCGTCCACGACATTTATATCAATATCGATATAGAAAAACCTGATGTTCTTCTCGGGATCAGCATTATTATTACGAGTTAGATTATGAATGTCAAGCCAATATGATACTTTCTTTCAAAACAATATTTATATATAACTATATATAAGTATTAGGGTTACTAGGATCTTTCGATGTACAGAGTGTTGTGTCATCTGCAAATAACCTAAGTTTCCTTTTAACCAAAATTAATATTGAATTTATGTAGACGAATCAAAAATAAAATTGTTTCCAAAACTGACCTTTGCGGTGCACCTTATATTATATTCATTAGGGATCTATACAAGTACTATTCACGTCAACATATTGTTTTCTGTTTGTTATGAAATGAATAATTCCTGAACCCAATATAATGAATTTGTCCATTGATACGCATTGAGACTAATTTATTTATTGGAATATTATGATTTACAGTGTCAATTTCGAGAGTACCTATTTTGTGTAGTTGGCATTTTGAATTTAAAAATTAATCTGGATTAAAACATCTCAGTTGCCTCTGTCTACGCATTCATAAAGTACTGTCGGGTAATAGAGCCACGTTAACAGAAAATATTTTTTATTATTGATATATCAAGATTATCAAGAGTTTACATTCAAATATAAATCATCAGACTTAAATTATTTCAGGAAATAAAAATGGAGAAACTTCAACATAACACAAACACTCATCAAAAAAATATATATGCAAACTTGCTTTTTGGCCTTATTACCGAACTATGCAGATTATAAGGCCGATGATAAATAATCGAGGAAGGTTATAAAGCCGAATATGAAAAACGAGTCATAGAATGCATTCTGGGCAGACAAAACCTCCTGAGTCTTCACTAGTTATAGGCCCACACCTTCCTCATGTACCCAGGTGCCACATGATCATAATCATTGTTGCATACTGAACACAGCCAAACTGCGTTGGCTGTATGAATACTTCCCTTTTCACTTCTTGGGCTCGATAATTGAATGCTTTTTTGCGTTTTGTAGCTTTAACAGGCTGCATATCGGGTATTACTAACACTTCGAAATGTGTTTTGCACCAAGTGCTCGTTTAATCGAACCAGACTGCCCACTAAACATGATACATAACAAAAATATTCTTCAGTTATTATAAGTTTTGTGATATTGTTGAAATAACATTGCAATAATGTCCTTCTGAAGTATCCAACATAATACTATGAAGTAAAACGTTTATGAGACGTTGCATCAATATTGAAATCAATATCATTAGATAATATTGTGATATGTTGATTTTAGGTTCTTCAGATATATCTCAGACAGAGTTGTTATATTATTTGTGCAACGTTTTCGTCTGAATAACATCACAAAGTAACAAAGTAATATAACATTTATGTTTAAGTTATGTTTTCATGTTTAGTGGGTGTATACTATTCCTCAATGTCCGACGAGGAATCCCACAACGTTCTGATACTGATTTTTGAGACATCCCCTGTCTTATTATAGTTGAAGAGCCTCCTGCATCATTTCTTCAGTCCAGTTGGCTCTGATGCCACGATTCTTCTTTTCCATATCTAAAAAATTAGATTAAGAAATCTTCTGAAATTAACTTTGTTGCATGCCTTACTGCCAGATACAATCTAAATAGCAATTATTTTTGGCAGATAATAAGGCCGGGGCCATATCACCTGTCGAGTACGATCGATACTTTCTTGAGTTTGAGAAAATTCACCAATAACAGAAATATCAAAATAATGAGTTTCATCTATTGTCTAAGTGCATCAACACTAATATTTGTTTCTATCAAAATGTACGAGAAACTAATTGTAACAATGGAAATAATACTCACTTTTTCGAAGCAAACTTTATAATGAGGCACATGAACAATCAGGAAAACGTAAACACGGAGCACTTGTCGCACAAAAATGGCACTGCGTTCGAATCGTTGCATCAAAGCATCATACAGGTTATTTCTGAATATTTCCAAACATAGATGACACTGGGCGCATGAAATTCTGATGATTTGTTCATCTATAGCTATTGGCCTTTTAACCTGTCAGGCCTTATTACTCGACAGTACTAGTACAAATGAAGGGTCCTCTCGCTCCTCTCCTATCCACCCTCTCTCCCATACACCACACAACAACAAAAGAACTGAGTAATGTCCAATCAAACAATCCAACTGTCGCACAAAAGAACCACCCCTCGACACACGTCACGTGACGCGGGACCGTCAGGTCAGGGCCTACTCACCATTTCCTCCTGGTCGTTAATCATGTCCCTTTCTCTATCGATGACGCTGTCGTCGCTGCAAGAGCTCGATGCCCTCAAGCCGGTACTGCGGTAGAAGTCCTCCCGTCTCTGCATCTCTCTGGCGTACAGAGAGGGTACTAGCTTGTAGACTAGAGATTGCGTTTGGGGGTCGGCCCTGGAAAAAACAATTATATTGATTATTTCTTTCACACCTGGCTGCACCTATGAAATTCCATGGTTGAAGTCACATGATATGCGATTTAGCGGCTATTTAGGTGACCAAATATAATATGAGCGGCCATTCTGTTCAACAGCATAAGAGTGCTATGATTGTCAAAGTTTTACACTACACCTTTTTCAATTGTAATTCAGAAAGTGTAACTCGTAATTCAGATTAGTAAAATCTAAGTGAGAAAGTGTAACTTGTGATTCAGATTAGTTAATTGTTATTCAGAAAGCGTCAATGGTAATTCAGATTAGTCAATTGTAATTCAGAATGCATAACATGTAATTCAGATGGGTGAAATGTAATTCAGAAAGTGTCACTTGTGATTCAGAATAGTCCATTGTAATTCATAAAGCGTAATTTGTAATTCAAGTATCTTTGAGCATGGTGAATGGTGGTGTGTTTTGTACCGCCTTAGGACAATCACCTCCATCTTTGGCCTGGTCAATATTCTGTTCAAGATAAACAAGTCGTTGTTCTCAAGGAGAATGGATGCATACGGGTTGTTCCAAGTTTCTGAATCATTGGTGATACTTTTTGAATTATAGGCTTTTCTCGGGTTATTCTTTCTGAATAACAATTGACGGTTTCTGAATTACATTTCACTATTCTGAATTACAAGTTACACTTTCTGAATTACATTTTACTTATCTGAATTACATATTACGCTTTACAATTAACTAATCTGAATTTCAAGTTATACTTTCTGAATTACAATTAACTATTCTGAATTACAACTTAAACTTTCTGAATTACAATTGAAAAAGGTGTAGTAAGTTTGACATTTTATATCAATCACTTGAAAATTGACACAATTTCCGAAGAAAATTTAGATACCTATACTATGTCAACTCATTCAGCGAACATGCTGGTGAACATGGTGGTATTGAAAAACATATTTATAGATGAAAATATCTCTTCGAAATCATCGGTTATTGTTAATATAGGACAGGAAAGACTGTTCCAATTACTTCACCAAGATTCGACATCGTACAGAATATAATAGACCATTTGTCTGGCTGACTGACAAAAACATCCCATGCAAAAGCTATATAGCAAGGTCATTTATTATCCGATTCTGATAAGAATAAGACCAACATGACATTCTCGAATAATACGTGAATGCAATAATGTTTTTTTTTTATTTCAGCTTTCAGGCTAGCAGATATATATATTTTTTGAAGATTTGTTCCTGATCGTGATTTCATTTAAACTGAGTAATATATAGCATGTTGGTTTTCGCACATACTTATTGAGGAAAGATTGCAAATACTCCACCGACGATTGATTGACCTTTTTTATGAAATTTGAATAAAATTTAATTATTCATTTTACTTGGTTCTTTGGGATTTTCTCTCCTCGTTTCTATAATATAAAAGTATTCGTATTATTTCAATATATTTGTAGAGGGACAAATCAGATGATTTGCCCCAAAATGTCACTGCGTTTAACAAATTTTTCTATCAGGGAGTCTAAAAGAAAAATCCAGTAGCTTGTCAGTGACAATTTGTTTGAAAAAATTTTTGAAGGAAAGAAATATAGATATATTGAAAAAATATCGAATTTGTACTTATCTTTGGACGTTTCGGGACCGATTCTGCCCCCGTTCTCAACATGTAAATGCAAATTATTTTTCTTTGAAAGTTGTGCTGCGTATATAGTTTGACAAAGAAAAATAATTTGCATTTACATGTTGAGAACGGGGGCAGAATCGGTCCCGAAACGTCCAAAGATAAGTACAAATTCGATATTTTTTCAATATATCTATATTTCTTTCCTTCAAAAATTTTTTCAAACAAATTGTCACTGACAAGCTACTGGATTTTTCTTTTAGACTCCCTGATAGAAAAATTTGTTAAACGCAGTGACATTTTGGGGCAAATCATCTGATTTGTCCCTCTACAAATATATTGAAATAATACGAATACTCATCGAACATTTCAAAAAAAAATTCATATCAGCAGAGGTTTTCTTTATTTTTCTCAACTAATTATGGACGATAGTCAGATGGTTATACGTCACTTACTTTAAAAAAAGTATTCATCAGAAACAACTCAAAAAATATGTGTTAACCATCATTTGAACAAAAAAAAAATGACAGTCGCTGACATCAGAGCTTGAATTAATATAAATATTATCAGTGCCATTTCATAGTTAGTATTTGAGAGGTTATTTCATTTCCTTTTTTGTTCATCAAAATCGTGTGATGATTTGATGTATAATAACGGCGCGGTGGCTTGTATTTTGTCAGTCATTCTGTGTTTCAGGTTTATGATTGAAATATTTCAGGTAAAGTCCTATAATATATTGTTTCTAAGTATGAATATAGTGGAATATTATATGAAAACGATATTCATCAGAGTATATTATACTACTCCAGATAATGGAGGTGTGGATTCATATTATAACTTTCCTGCATAGTAGATCCGACTGAAATGTACAAGTTCGTTTTAGTATACCTTCATTGAAGAGGGAACTCTACTATATAGCATATTGTCGTTGAGATGTGAATACCTCCTATGTGACAATTTCAAAATTGTTCAGGAGAGATGAAAATCTTCTTGTTTGAACTAATAGTATTCTAAATGCATGTGATTTTTTTTGTATAATCAAATATGTCATCAGATTACTTTAAGACAGCTTCAATATCGAATTTGTGTTTTGACTAAGACCAATTATTAATAAATTTATATTTTTGGAGGTATTGCACATTCTGTAGAAGATCACATGAGAGATAGTACTTTGGAGTTTCACTTGGGAGGTATCACCACAAGATCTATTGTCGCACATAGGAGAGTTGTTTCTATAGCCTTTATACATTGATGAAATGAGAAAGCGTTATGTTCAGAATAGGGAATTAAATAGTAGACCCGAGCAAAGTAAACTGATATTTTTGTATATTTATCACTTTGAAAAATGACTATATTATAAATGAAATAAGTGTAATGAAAAAAAAAATCATAATCCTCATCGATGATGATTTGGTCTTCATTTAGGAAGATAACAACCTTATTTCTTCTGCCTCTGTTGATGCGGTAGCACATCATAAAAAGCATGGTGGTCCATTTACATTACGGATTTCAGTTCCTATACAGATATTTGAGTTGAGTTTTGTAAAGCTGTTCCTTATAAATTTCCATTTTTTGGTTTTCACGCCGTCGTGGCATCAGTCCTTTCTTCAGAATAATCTATAGCGTGGAGTATAATTTTCCCCATTAGGTAAGTATTTCAGTTGTCTGATATCGACAACTACATGATCTCTGACTCTTTTTCCTGGTCTAATTGAGTCAAAGTTGGATGGTAACTCATATTTATTGAAAAAGGTGTAATCTAAATTTTTTATTTCATATGGATTTGTAGAACGCGTGAGTCTCATCCGCGCTAAGTAATCTGAAGGTGAACAGATCAAAATAAAGGAGCTTAAATCATACGAAAACTCACCATTCATTTTGCAGCTATAATCAACAACCAACTCGGTGAATACACTGCAATACATATGGAATATCTCCGAAGTATCGGTGAAAGGGTTCACAACAAAACGAATGCAATGTAATATCTCCCATGTAACACTTCTTCACACTGGAGATATTTCTGTCTCCTATATATGATGAACCTGTCACATTGGAGAAAATTGAACATGATGGGCTTTTATATTATAGGATAAATATTTCTGGATTGGAGGTGTTATTTTGACTTGTGCGAATGTACAACTGATTCGAATGCTGTAAAAATACCATTTTGACCAAATATGTCACATTGGAGGTATTCACATCTCAACGACGAATATAGTGATCGAGCTGATCGAGCGCAATATTGAATGCAATGAAGAAGTGCTGTTAATTCTTTGTTAAATCCACTTTTCCTCATTTATGTAGTATAAATATGAATATGGTTGAACGGTACTCAATCCACCCTGTTCGTGATGAAGTTAACTATCATATGAGGATGTAGCCCAGTAGGTATATTACATCATTTTACTTTAACTCAAAAGTGAAGTTTACTGGGAAGAATATCTGTCCATATATCACGTGTTTTTCCCAGTGAACTTCACATAGTAGGTATTCTTTACAGACAATAAACGAGCGGCTTGCGAGAGTAAAGCGCACACTGTATATCGATAATACTAGATCTCCACGATATTTCGATATGATCAATAACGATCAAATTAATTAGGCTGAGGATGGACATATACAGGGTGGGTCACGGTAGATGGCACCTTAGACGTTTACGGAGAACGGGACATAAGATCATTCTGAAAATTTGGTTACTCAAGTAATTGCTCTTGATCTATCGATCTAAAATATTTTCAGCCCTGCGGCGTTGCCGCTTCTATCGAAAAGTAGCAACAACTTTGTTATTTTGAATGGAACACCCTGTATTTTATTGCATCTTCAGATTCTCTCTGAAGAGCTGATTTCATCGATGTATCACATTTGGGGTCTAGCGGAAATGATTACAGAGATATAGGGTGTGAAAAATCGACATTTTTCAACTTAAGGAATTTTTTTTGTCGAAACTATTCATTATTGGTCAAAACGGCTTACATGTCCCTATCTCAACTTTTGATTAACTATCTACTGATATTTAATTGGGACATATACCGGGTGATCAAGAATCTGAATTCTGCACCACCCTGTATTTGTTTCAATTAAATGTCAGTAGATAAGTCATGGAAACCATCCATTCTCAAAGTGGCCCAGTATTTTTCTCCCTTTGTCAGTAGATAGTTGATCAAAAGTTGGGATAGGGACATGTGAGCCGTTTTGACCAATAATGAATAGTTTCGACAAAAAAAATTCCTAAAGTTGAAAAATGTCGATTTTTCACACCCTATATCTCTGTAATCATTTCCGCTAGACCCCAAGTGTGATACATCGATGAAATCAGCTCTTCAGAGAGAATCTGAAAATGCGATAAAATACAGGGTGTTCCATTTAAAATAACAAAGTTGTTGCTACTTTTCGATAGAAGCGGCAACGCCGCAGAGCTGAAAATATTTTAGATCCATAGATCATAGCAATTACTTGAGTAACCAAATGTTCAGAATGATCTTATGTCCCGTTCTCCGTGAACGTCTAAGGTGCCATCGACCGTGACCCACCCTGTATATGTCTGTAACATGTACCAATTGATTTCATCGATATTGATCATATTAAAAGGTCGTGGAGATGATTTCGAGTACCATTTAGTAGTTCCGATGAAATTTAGTAAACAAAAAATATCGCTGTAATACATAGAAGGAACCGTGAAAATGGCCGATTCTGATTTATTCTAAAGACCAAGAGTGGAATAGTCACTTATAACTACACCTTTTTGTGTCGAAGTAAACTTAACATTTCGATGAATATTTTTTTGGCTGGAAGTTGAACGAAAAAAAAATTCCTCGCAGTTTTTTGAGTTCAATTTGATAACATTAGCATTATAAATATGTTTGTTGTTCTCGGTTTTCAATGTGTTTTCATCATTCATCACGGTTAAAATTTATCGAGTTGAATTGATCTCCAGATCTACACGACTTTGTGTCAATAATCCAGGTCCACACCGGATGAAACAAAATGGCTCAGAAATATGAAAAAATTTTAGAAATCATGTACAGACAGAATTTCAACTAAGTTTATAAGTTCTTGATGAAACGAATTATACATTTTTATTCTGACGAAAAGCTCCACTCAATAGGAATTTTTACCGTGTACGTAATAGTTTTTCATAAATCAATCCGAGTTATGCTTACTTTATACATGGCTTTATTTCAGCAAATCAAAATATTCCGAAAACGGTTCACAGTATATCAAGTTTCGCCTTTTTAGTGCATTCAATCATCTTCCAAGTTCATCTAATGGGTTGCGTGCAAGAACTGTGATATGACTGACCCTGGAGGATGATGAACATTGAAACACAACCTCACTTTTCTTATATGTTTACAAGTGATTGAAATAGTTTTTCACAATCATTTTGGCATAGAAATCGTATTTTTCAGCTTTTCATTAATGCGCTCATGCCATCACATTGTGCAGTTGTACAATGCACAAAAACTGCAGCAGAAGACGAAGGAATCCTGTTGGTACATTATGATTTAAAAGTAAGTACCTACTATAGTCACTCACATAGTTTTCATTTTTGGAATTTAGTAATTTCCCTGATTTCTCATCGAAATTCCTTCTGCAATTGGAGCTAATAAAAATACACATGAGATTTCTAAAATAATGCAAGGAGTGGTCTGACATCATGCTGACGAAATATGATCGTGTGTATTGTAGACATTTTCAATCTATTAGCAGTATTAGCTTGTATTGCAGAAGTGGCAGAAGGAATTTTAATAAGGAATGACAACATTTCATAATGATAACTATGTGAGATTGCTATTTACCTGAGAAATCATATATTCCTTTATCTCTCGCTGCATTTTTTGTGCATTGTACAACAGCACAATGCGAAGGCATGCATGCTTGAATTAATGAATAGAGCAAAAAACACGATTCGTATGCCAAAATATCGTGAAAAACTATTTCAATCCTTTGATTCTTCTGTGAACAAATAAAAAAAGTAAGGTTGTGTTTCAATAATTCACAGAAGAGTGAGGTTGTGTTTCAATATTTCACCTCCATCAGGGTCGGTCATCGTGCACGCAACCTATGAAGAAAAAGTCAGAACAGCAGTGTCAAGTACATTAAGTACATAAAAACTAACTAACCAATACATGTTAGTTTCATTTATATGGGTGAACAGTGTAGTAAAATGATGTTTTCAGAGGGAATACGATTCCCCATTATACGAACAAAATTAATATTATATGTGATCTGAAACTCACCTGAAGTAAACTTGAGATTTCTTTTTATATACAGTGTTGCATGTTGGGCAGCCAGTCTTACTATTTTCGAAATAACGTAGAATACATCCACGACAAACTGAAAATAAAAAAAATATATATCGATATCAGATTTGCATGTAGTGGTGTGAAATTAGGGATACTTTTAGGTCCACATGCATATTGCATTCATATACGGAGCACATAATAAAAATACCAAACTAAATGATACATCTACGTCGGGAGGAAAGCACCAAACTCCAGGTGTGTATTGTACAGGTATGAATGATTAAAAAAAAACATATTCGATTCTCATTTTACTATTCATTCGTTTTAATGATAATTTCTCAATTAGTCTAAGACGGGAAACTGGAACAATTGGGAAGTCACTTGAAATAATATATCATACTATTGACTACACCATGTTGTTTGAATTTATTTTCCTTTGAACATTTTTCTAGATAGAAAATTTCTCTAGTGCAAATACTTAGTGAGTTGAAGAGAACACGCGTTATGGCAAGAGATTTCAACAATTATCATCCGTCATTTTGTTTCGCATAATTATTTTTGTCTAAAATTGTCTTACCGCATGGAAAATTATAACTTTACAAATAAGGTACACTTGACCACCCATTTTGATTAATAAATCTTCCGAAATGGCGCCGATGTGCCATTCTAACCACAATTGGAGCAAAACAAAAGGTCCCAGCCGTTCAAATGTTAATTAGGTGGGGTAACTTTATTGACATACTGCAGGAAACATCGTATGAACCATCAGTTGGAAGATATGAAGTTATCTATATTGTTTCCAGATAAAATATACTAACTAAACTCCATTTCAAAAGCCACTTTGGTTGAGTCTGTACATGATGGAACAGGATATAAATATCAAACGAAAATTAGTTTTACTTATTATCATTGCTATTTTCGTAAAACTTCACCTGAATTCAATCGTTATCAACTCGAGACAAATATATAAATTTTGTAGATTCTGGTGGTAATTGTGGTATAAGCACCACTAGCACCAGCGCCCAACTCCCAGATGCGAAAGCTATATAGGCATCCCGCCATAGAACCGAATTTATATGCGCATGTCGGCGTCGCCGTGGTTACAAGAATGACTTACTGCTTCTACTAAGATGGGTTGAACCCTGCTTTGACCACTCCACCATTCCACTTGGCCAAATATACATTAATTTTTCAGTTTTATTATTGAAATAATAATTAGGTATACTGATCTTTGTAGCCAAATTGCGAGAAGGAAACAACTACCCAAAATGTGTACATCATATTTGAATATCGGGTAAATAAAAAGTACTTAAAATACTTAAAACTGGTACTTAAGGTACTGTTAACAGGTACTTTGAATACTGAAGTACTTAAAACGACACTTAAAAGCTCATTAAATTGTATTTAATGTATCAAAAATGATACTCAAAGTTCTTAAAATTCCATGAGTTGTTTCCCCCTTGCCAAATTGGTTAATACGTGCATGATGGCTATTTTTTTTCTTTATGAATATGCAACAAAAATAGTTTTAATCTTTGGTAGAAGTCCATATTGCTCAAAGTGGAGTGAAATATTTCAAAGGAAGGAAGGAATGCTCGACGTTGACTTTGACTCATGTCAACTTCTTGCCTACGCCATTATTTGACATTATTTCCAGTGATGTTTTCTAACCAAATTAGTTTATATTTAGACACGTGCTGCATGGCTGTTTGCCCCATCAATTTTATTGATATTTTTTCCTTAAGTATAGCGCTTTCATAAGGAGACGGCACCGTTAATTTATGCATGGTGTGGTCAAAACAAATCTTTTGGCAATACCCTTTATATACCATTTTGGTATATCGAATTTCAATCAAAATAATGGTATGGGACGATGGTATGGGCTCTCAGGGCACGGGGCCCTTCATTTATTGATAACCCCTTTTTCATTATAAGAATTGGATATCTCGACTATGGGCTTGACAACAATTCCACAAATAGCAGCATCAAAAATTTTTCCAACTCCAAGTAAGTCAAGCATGAATTAGGTAATTCTTTCACATCAACCTTCATTTTGTATTGTAGAACTTTCAATTAGGCTGAAGGTGGTCTTTTATAAGACCGAAACCTGTCCCTTATGATTTTGTAACAACACCATTAAAATTTGTGGAAATTACTTCGAGCATTCCTTCCTTCCTTTGAGAAATAGTATTACCATGTCTGTGAATAGTGGTTCCATGTTTTTTTAAGTGCAGGACAAAGGGTGATGAGTGAAATAAACATTACATTTGTCTCCGTGTTTGTGTTATTCGAGGTAACGAATTTTGAGCCATCAAACATCAAAGGTGGCATCAAAGCTTTCGCATCTGGTAGTTGGGTGATTTGTGACTGTGGTATAAGGATAATTGAATACTTACAGACGTGGAAACATTCAGTCAGCGCAGTGGCATCGATCAAATATCCTTCGCATAATCGACAGGTGATTATGCTGTTCAAGTCCCTCGTTAGCATTTTACTCCTTTCTTGACTCATCGTTTTCTTGTTTGTCTCTTCGTATGCGAAACTGGAACAAAAATAAAATATATGTCAATTCTTCTCCGAAACAGGACAAAAATGGATTCAGCAAAATACAATATTCAATGCAACCTATAGGGGAAGTTCAATTTAAAGAGACGCACCCTGTATATATAGATATTTCAAAGACGTTCTCGAAATTAACATCATGTGTCCTAAAATTAACCTCCTTCGAGATACAGCTATACTGTCAGTTGATTGAAGAAATATTGTAACAATATCGCTGATGATACAAGGTGTTTCAAAAAAACCTAACCCCCTTGCTAGGGTAGGTAGAACATTGCAAATTAAGTTGGGTTTGCTCAGTAAAAAAATGTTGTAACTCCATCCGTTTTCAAGATACAAGGTGTTGAAACAATATTTTTTGTTTTGTACACATTTTTTACGATTATGTTGAAACTACTGGCAACATTGTGATGAAATTTTGTATGGATGTTTCTTGGAATCTGACACATCGCATGCATTCGTTTTTATATCTGACTCTCATAAAGGGCGCTAGTTACACGGTTCGTACCGAGTAGTTTTGAACATAACATTTTTGAGGTTAGATTAATCAATCCAAATTTGATGTGCATATATATATGCCCACTTCGTAATGCCACATCAAGTACCAAAACAATTTGTGTGAAAACGGTAGACAGTTGATTAGCAAAGCAATAAAGAATCTTGTTGAGGACTATAATTCCAATTTATCATATACACCCTATTTCCCACAGTTCAAACTATGTGGAGAGAGCAAACCGTACCATTTATACTGCCATTACTGCCATTAAGAGTATCAACGGTATCCACAAATCTTGGAACAAAGAACTTCCAAAACTTTCTTATTCTATGAGAACTTCTGTACATATGATGAAGTAACGGGGTAAGTCCCGCATTTTTTAACTTTGTGCGCGAGGTACCATGTTCAGGGAATTATTATGGAAAGTGTGAAACAGAATAGGAATTATGTGATAGGGATAAATAGGCTCAAAATATATCAGGAATGTCTCATAAAGTTCAAAATAAATTGAATTCGACTTATAAAAGGAACTGTAAATATTATAACTCGAGACATAGGGACAAAGAATTTTTTTCTACAAACGTCAAAAAATGACAAGGTTCGCGCATTGATAACAAATTGCGAAGTGACACTTTTTTTCAGTTTCCTACGTTACCATGATTCCTTGCACATAACAATGCGCGAAGTAAAACAGTGCGCGAAGTACCTACTTCGCGCATTGTTATGTAAAATATATGAGATATTTTTAATCCAACTTAATGGTCCTCAATCGAGCAAACATCCACGAAATCATTTATTTCTGAATGTTCAACCATAACTTCGTATTATATCTTGGAGCGCACGAAAGGAAATTCCTATTATGTTCGTGGAACATCGTGCGTACCTAGGGAGGATAGGGGGAGGCTTTTTAAGCCAGTTCAACACTATTTTTCATATCAAGCTAAGCATATTTTTACCTCAGAACTATATTTTTTGACGTTTGTAGAAAAAATTTTGTTTGCAACTCGAGCGCGAAATACTTTGGTCATCTCGACTATTTTTTTAACTCGGCAACGCCTCGTTAAAAAAATCAGATCTCGATCACCAAAGTAGCATTTCGCGCTCTAGATACAAAAATAACTATTTGTTGAGGATGAAGTTTGTAAAAGAAATGAAGTTTTATCTAATGCTGCTGATAATTTCGCCCAGGAATTAGCGCCCCGTTATGTACTCTGCACAGGACATAAGAAAACAATCAAAATTTGTTTATATTCGCAAAGATGAGGATAGTACCAATGCAGGTATGTGGCTTATACAAGATTATAAGCATATCATGGTCCGATGTCTGATGTGCATTGATGAGGAAATGGGATCGGAAAATGACGTTGGATTTGTTTGATCGAAGAAATCCTTTTAATCTGTGTGGGTAAAGCAACCGTGCGAAGCCGGACCAGACATAATATGATCATGATATGAGTGGCTCATGAAAATAATTCGAAATTGATTCAGTTCCGGCGTAAATTGCCTGGTCAGGTCCGGAGGGAACCAGAACCAGAGAACCACCAACGACCACAAATGCCTGCTGCCAGCGCTGCCCCTCCCAACTCAGAGACGCCCACCTCTCGCGCTGACCCCAGCAGCGAAGGCGAAGGCGGCTAGGCTGATGCACTGAGGGAAATGTGTTGTTATTATAAATAGATTTGTTTGAGTATACAGGGTGTAAATTTGAAAACTTTCAATGCGAATATCTCGCAAAATAAAAAAGTTAGAAAAACGCCGCTTGGCGCAAAAATGCTAAAGAGTTAAGGGGAACTAGAACCACCATATTTCAGTGGAGCACTGAGAAAAACTGGTTAATTAAAACGTCTAGTTGGTATTTTTTTAGTACCGGTAATTAAAAATATTTGGAATTTTATTAACAATGACAACGTATCCTTATTTCCTACAAATGACTTTTCTATTTTTCGCCAATTATTTGTCATCAATAAAAATACTATTTGTGACAGAATTATCACAGTGTTGTCTATTCAGTCAATTGAAATGTCATATTGGGGTTAAAAAACCTCATTCTGGGGTTACTAACAACAGCTGACTATTTGCCACAACTGATGACACATTTATCGTAGAAGGTTTATTATTATTCATAGCAGAAATTGTTTAGCCATAACTAATAATTTTAGTTGTACTGCGTCGTTCGGGACCGCCTCGCGTCTCTTCGGGACCCACCTGCAAAAATTGCATCTTGCATCTGTTTGTCTTTCTGTTTCATCATTTGAACTTGTATCTTGATAGTGGATAGATCGCACGGTCGTCGAGCTTAGACAAAATAAATAAAATAATTGTCTAGTGTAGCCGGGAGCGTCGTGTTCTTGCTGGTTCACTGCTCTGTGTGTTTTCAAATCACTGTTTTGTGTTTTTTTGCACTTCGCGCTGAGCCATTTGGCATTTGGTTGGCAAAATGATAATTCGTAGTTTACCATCGTTATCTGTGCGTCACTAGTTATCAGGTTTAGGTACCTATTCACAATTCAGTTCAGTTTATGACGGGCGACGGTGAGAAACGTCCAACCGACGTCATGTGTACACGGTGTATATTGAGAATTTCCTCTCTTTTTGCTGAGCTGTGGCCTGTGGCACTTACGGTGTGTGGTGTATTCCTGTTCACGATTCCATTGGAAATTGGAAAAAAAATGGAATACAATCTGTTATTATTAGAATGGGGCCTTGATTTTAATTGATATAAAACCATTAAGTTGCCAGAATAACTAAATTATATTTCAAACGTTACTAAATCACTTTTAATAGTAACTAGATTCCATTTCAGTCACAATTAAATATTTAATTTGCAACAACACACTCACTATTAACGTCAGAAGAAATGAGTAATTGCCCCAACTGGGATAATTTGTTGTGATAACAAACATATATTGAAACAGTACTAACAATCTAATTGTCATAACTATGTATCTTGATTGTGGCAAATAAAACTTGGTATTATTCCTTAAAAAGGCTTATTAGTTACCACAACAACGTCATAGATGACTCAACTAAACTTTTCATTAGAGGCAAATAGGCGTTTCCAGAAACACAGAATTATTTATGGCAACAACTAATGCTTGCTGTCCCCTATCGTACTAAAAAATTTTTCTGTAGTTACTAATTTTTTAGTAACGGCTACAAATTTTTTCCCTCAGTGAGGGATGAGTCACCCTGTCAGCGCAACACACCCCAACTTTGAAATGTCAAATGACACTACCTCTTTTGTGATACCTCAAATGAACGGTCTCAGTCAGTAGTATTCACCTGTACAAGACTTTTTTTCCACCCACTACAGGGTGTACGAAAAACATTAATTCGAGGGTCTAAATTTGAAAACTTTCAATGCGAATATCTTGCTAAATAAAACAGTTAGGAAAACGCCGTTTGGCACAAATGCTACAGAGTTAGGGGGAACTAGAACCACCATACTTCAGTAAAGGGATGAGTCACCCCGTCGGCGCGACACACTCCATCTTTGAAATGTCAAATGGCACTACCTCTTTTGTGATATCTCAAATGAACGGTCTCAGTCAGTAGTATTCACCTGTACAAGACTTATTTTCCATTCACTACAGGGTGAACGGAAAACATAAAGTCGAATAAAATGAAATGCAGAATGCCGTTATATTCCAATAGATGGTGTTCCAAAATGTTAGAATGGCATTTGAACATCGATTATACTATTACTTACAACAGAATTAAATACATTTTGAACATCTGATCAAATAAAATATCCTTTTAACACAATTCATTTTATTTTATTCGACTTTATATTTTTCGTACACCCTGTAGTGAGTGGAAAAAAAGTCTTGTACAGGTGGATACTACTGACTGGGACTGTTCATTTGAGGCATCACAAAAAAGGTAGTGCCATTTGACATTTCAAAGTTGGGGTGTGTCGCGCCGACGGGGTGACTCATCCCTTGACCGAAATATGGTGGTTCTAGTTCCCCTTAACTCTTTAGCATTTTTGCCAAACGGCGTTTTTCTAACTTTTTTCTTTCGCGAGATATTCGCATTGGAAGTTTTCAAATTTACACCATGTATGCTTCGTTCCTTCGTGCCACCTCCTTGTCATCAATATACCTTATTGAATACTACCATCATGTAATTTGTAAATGAGTCGTTGACCAAAAACAAATGATTCGTTATAGGAGCTAATTCTTTCAATATTAACCTCTTAAGCGAATAAGACGATTATATCCGCAAACAAGTAATCGTTGCAATACGAGTATGACGAATATATTCAACGACGGATTTTTTCTGGTCCCCTCCATGAATAACACGTATAAGTTCGCAAGCCCCACTCTTCACTATGAAGAATTTGGTGTAAACAACTCGGTAGGTGCATTACGATTTCTAAGAAAAAGATAATAGCTAAAGACAGTTGGTTCGAACTCATCTCAAGAAATAATATATAAGAAGTTGCTCTTGCATAAGATGTATTTTGCGATGTTGAATTCCTACAT